AAACTGGGGAAGGGTTTCAGCTTCCCAGTTGCTGCTCTGCCAAAGACAAAGAAAGCAACTGGCACACCCAAGGCAGTTGTGCAGGAAGCTGTACAGATTTACTCCTGGTAGTGCTGAAAAACTAGACCTCTTCAGGATTAGGCAAAATAGTGATGTCTTGGAGGCTCTGGCTGTTGGATGTAAGTGTTGATGGTAGAGGGGGCAATTCAGGTGAGTACCCAAGTCCTTTCATGCCCCTGAGCTACAGGTGAGACCAGAAAGGGGTATGGAACATTCTTAGGTGGTGGGTTTCATAAACTGCACATAAAGGTATGAGATTTCCGAAAGAAAAATTTTATTGGACAAAATCTTACATATAATTATGTTAATGAATAACCCAAAGATGTGCAGTCTCCAGAGCCATTCAATATTTAATGCTGCTATTTTCAGGTTAATTTATGCTGGTTGTTTTGGTCTTTGTTCTTGCTCTCTGACTATCACTATGCAGAGGTGACAGTTGCCTTTGAAAGACAGATTCAGTTTGAAACTGCCAGAATTCTCCTGAACTGGTTAAAGCTTTCCAGCAGATATTTGTGAATGATCAGAAGGAGCTGAGTCACCTTACTGAAGAATTAGAAATAAAATTAATCTTTAAGCAGTTTTTCACAGAAATACCTTACAAGATCTTAATCTGCTCAAAGGGCATTACTTTGAAATCTGGATTTTGATCATAAAGGTGATTCACTAAGACACTCAAAGACATGGTTTAAGCACATGTGAAATCAATGGTCTTGCATCAGTGCATGCATTCAAGTGTACCTACTTACTCTGCTGGGAAGGGATCATTTCTCAGAATGAAGGTTTAGATATTAGCCTTGACATTCATCTCGGTGGTCTGCAGTCATGACCAAGAGTTTCTGGCAGAAACACGCACAGTGAAAAGCATTTACACATTCAATCTCAGAAGTAGGTCGCCTTATATTGGAGAGAGTTAAATTATGGATATGCCAAAACTTTACAAAAAAGGATTAAGCAGACAGCTTCCAGATTGGCTGCAAAAAACTGATAAACAACATGGGGTCAGGACTGCTGTGAAGAAAAACATCCATGATGGAAAAACACAGAGGTTAAAAAGTTAAAATTCTGGTGCCCTCACTAGAGCGTGTGTCACCCAGGATAGTGAAGGAAGGATGCCAAAGACTCTAAATATTAGAGAAGTGAGGGGTTTGGGGCTGATTTCCCTGCTCAGATTGCCAGCATTAAGAGCAATTACAAGGCAAAGGCTTTAAGTGGACTTGGAATGAAAATTTAAGCAAGTGTTCAAGAAGCTGAAGGAGTCCTGAAGTTTTGTGGCAGCAGAATACAGTGACAATGACACAGTAAGTGATAGCAAGAGGCTATAGAAATTCTATCAGGTGCTGGAGAACACATAATTGCATTATTCCAGTCTCCTGAACAGGCTAAATTTTGACTGATTTCATTAAATCTTACAAATGCCAGATAGAACTTTAAACACCAAGATGTGCTATGTAGATAAACTCTCAGCTTTCCATGGAGAATTGGACAACTTTTACAACACTGTGAAGAAAATTGGAGATCAGAATGTTTCTGGATACTTAAACATTCAGATAATGAAGACCTTTACAAATAATATTAAAAATACTGGGGCACTTCCTAGCAGAGAAGTATTACCAGGAAATGACCAAAGCATTCCCATTCCCAAAGGGCAGTACTGACTCCTGCACTTCCAGACAGGTGAGAGTTGAAAGTGCAAGAGGGGCTCAGTGGTCACAGGTACCTGTACTTCACGTGCAGCAAACAAGGACCAGTACAAGATTCTCTGCTGTCTGATGAAAACTGAGCCAGAGCTCAGATAAAAAGGGTGAGGCTTGGCAAAAGGAAACTGAAGAAATTAGCACCCCTACAGAATGCTGCCTGGGCTGTGTTCTCATCCTCTTGCACCAGTGAGAGGCAGAGTTCTCAGTAGTGGCATTTCTTTGATTTTTTTTCTAGAAGCAGAATGGTGCATCATTTCTAAATGCTTACAGAAAAAAATTGCATTTAAAAGGCTCTGTGAGGGTCATTCAGGGATTGAAAAATTTCAGAGGGGAACTAGACATATTTTAGATTGACCTCAGTTGACCTCAGATGAACTGTGGCATTATGGAATGTCTAAAGGTTTTCTCAATGTGGCAAAATACAAGACAAGACAAGTGAAATAACCCATATTGGTGGTACAGAGAAGGCAAAAAACTTGCTGCCTGGAGCAAAGTAAGCATCAATTTGTTCAATCTGGTGGGAAAAAAAATGCTTCTTGTTTATAAATATTTTTCTAAACTAGCAGACACTCCTTTCTAGTCAGAACACATGCTTTCAAATATTTTGCATGAGTCGTCATATATTTTGTAATGCATTTATTAGAGTCATACCCATGAGCATTTTTGAATTGACAAACAATTTTGTCATTGAATATTACTGGAACCTCCATTTAATTTGAGTGAAACCCATCTCTGCACAGACTATGATATAAATTCAATGCACTATTTTAATAATCACAAAAGAACAACTTCTTTTAGGATTGTGAACATTTACTGCACTGGTCTTTGATGGAAAATGTTGTGCATGTAGACAACTGTAGAAAAACAAACTTTCAATTCCCACATAGTAATTTTTATTACAGAAATATAAGTCCAGTAAGGGATATGATTGTTATAATCAATCACAGATGACCACAGACAGATGAAACATGGGTCACTCACAGACACCGTAGACTCAACACTCACAATAAGCCATATTCAGATGTGCTTTCATATGTTAGATAGTATTCCCAAATTCTATAAATATGAATATTTTTGGAATAGGAGAAATCTTAGAAGAAAAATAATTAGGTCCAGAATATATGCCTAAATTTTAATTCATAGACTTTAAATACAGTAAAGAATATTTTTTCCCCCAGATCCACTCTCAGAAATCATTTTCCACATCTACTTACATCATCAAAAGCAGTAAAAAAAGACTAAGCTTTCTAGTTTAGTCCTGAATTATTACATTGCCATTTATTCCTTTACTGTTTTTCACTTGGGCAGATAATCTAGATTTCCTTTCATAGTTAGATTTCTGGGACATTAATCTTTTCAGGGCCAGACTTCAGACAAGTGGATTGCAGTAAAAATTTGAGACTCAGCATGTTATTCTTCTCTTGCATCTTTGCTGTTTTTTCCTGGTCTGCACAAAGACACCTTCATACTTTGAAAATGCCTACTCTTGGCACATTACATATTTACCAGTGGCTTCTGATGTCTTTACACTAAGGCATTCACTAAGGCTTTTTCCATCAATTCTATTATTCTTAATCTTAAGGTTCAATCTTCTATTATAACTAATAGATAGTTATTTCATCTTGCATTAGGACTCTTCATACTTGTGCAATTTCAAAAGACAGTTTCACAGGGTCACTCTGGTTTGAAAATATGAAGGCAGATGCCATTTTGCTGCTTTTTTGAGAAAAAAGGACAAAAATGTGCTTGAGGCCAATCTGCAAATCAGTGTGCACCTTCATGTGAGTTTTCTGGAAAAGTCATATTTCTAAACTTATCTTGCTGGTGGTGAGGCATACATGCAATGTGGGCAGAAGCTCAAAGGCTGCATGTAAAGCAATATGGAGTATTCACTGCTCATCAGTCTGACTGATTCTATCAAAACCATTTATATCCTTCCTCTGGTGGCCCAGAGAGCTCCATTTGTAAGTGTCTTCCATGCTGAGAGGCAGAGTGAAACATAAAACCACATAAACTGAAGAAAGATTATTGTCCTTATACTTCCCCTTTTTCTTATTTTTCAGTTGTTCTTTCTGCAGTTCAACTTCTCCTTGACCATGACCATGATGCAAAAGTCTGGGTCTTCTCACACCTGCAGTTAGAGGCCAAAGAAGGAAAGGAACCATGGGCACCCATGTCAAAGGCCAAGATGGATCTTAATCTGATGTGTGCTGCACCTGGTCTCCAAGTTTTCTAGTCAGTGGGCCAGTGCCAACTCTCTCCACTGGCCAGCAGTCACCAGGTTTCTCCTTCATCAAACTGCAAATGTACTCCTGCTGTATAAAATTTACATGATATCATCTTAATAAAGTTACAAGAATAAGCTGCATGGAGATTTGAGTAAGATCAAGAGAAAAGCAAACCTTTCTAAAATTTTTCACAAGTCCCCAGGTGGAGGGCTGGGGTTTACCTTTTTCTCTTTTTACCCCAGACTACATTGACAGGTTTGTTGATATTATTCCATGGGAACAACCCCACCTATGGCTGATTTGGGGTTTTTGTTCTGCCCTGTCAAGTGCTCCCCTCATCTTTCATCCCTCCTGTCACTGAGAAGTGGGCAAGCATTGTGTGTTCTCATGGTTGTCGTACCACTTTCATCAGCAAATTTCAATACCTTATTTTGAAACTGTGCTCCCAATCCTACTTGGCAGGAAGAAATATCTTCCCTAAAATGAGACTGGTTATGATATGAATAGAAGAACATAAGTGAACATGTTTGTGTGTATCACACATTTTCAGCAGAATAATTTCTCTCTGTAGCACTCATTGTCTTCTCTCTGTGTGGAGGGTCAGTGTGACAAGTGAGGTTTAACCTCTGCATGCTGGAACAGGACTGATGTGCCGTTCCTCTTCAGAATGTGCACGTGTTTGCAAAGGCGACCATGCCAGAAGCAGCTTACCCAGAAACTCAAGCAGATTCAGGAAATGTGTCTTAAGGACAGCCAAACATAGCCTCAATGGAAAGGACTAATAGATATGGAATCTGAAAGTAACTTTGTTGAAACAAAAATCTGACAAAAACTTTTTAAACAAGGTACTTTCAGCTTTCCATCGTAACTTGTTGTGATGTTAATTATATTAATTAGTTCATGGTAATATCACCTTACAATGGCATTCATTAAGTGTTTGAATTTGTATGAAATTGGGGAAAGCCAAAAGGTTAAGAACACTTAACTCTGAACAGGACACACACAACACAACAGCTGCCATAATCACTTTATTATTGTCCAGTAAAAATGTTCTGTTTTCACTTCTCCACATGCTAGAAGTACAAAATTAGTTCTAGTTCTAGTTAGTTCCAACATACAGTAGTCTCTGCACTCCACAAGAAAAAATCATATTTTGATAGTGTTAAAAGAAAGATTTAAAAATTTATATTTTTTATTGAGATGGGAAAAAATTAACCCAGTGTGATCAAGATGACAAAAACACAATATCAGTCATTTGAGATTATTATTGAAGAGATTTACTTTTGTTATTACTTTAGTTTTATTGTTTGTAAACAGTAAATATTAACATTTTTTATTAATGACTGAGGAAACAAAAAGTAAGAAAGTGCACTAATCAACATCCATTAAACTGTATTAATTTTTCCAAAGTATTTTTTTCCTGGGATTTACTTGACAACACTACTTTAAGACAGTTATTATATTAAAGAAGTGTTCTAAAGATATACAGAACTACTTTGTAAGTATAATAGTACTGCTTTTCATCTTTGTTGCTTTTTTTATCAATCCTTGTCCATTATTCTCCAGGAAAAAAGGAAAAAAGAGAGTGCTGGTAAATAAATTTGTAATCAACGTCCACAGACTAAGGCTTCTAAATGCAGAATGAGTGTCTGAATTAAAGGCCAGCAGAAGGCTGTAAAGTGCCCATACACTGAGGCAAAGGAGCCTGGGGGGATGCTGCCCAAGAAACAGCATGATGAGAGAGCACTGTGCACACCAAGCCCCAGAGCCATCTAACAAACCTTGACCACACCATGTGGGCTGGTTGTGCTGACAAGTATATTGGTACCACCTTCGTTGTGACAATGCACTACATAGAGTATCAGGAAGAAAACTGCATTAGGACCAGAAATGCAGAGTTTTTTCTCAGTTTCCAGCTGCTGGGGATGTATGAGGTGCAAGATGGGTCAGGAAGAAGCTGATGGTAGTGGTGCCCAGGAAAGGAGGCTCTCATAACTAGAGCACCCAAGGAGCAAATGCTTTTCTGTGCATGCATCCTGGGGGATGCTCTCTGCTTTCCTTCAGTGTGTAGGAGCCAAGACAAGCCCTAAAAGAGAAAACAAGGGGACTGGGAAGGAGCAAGGTAGGAAGGACATTGTGGCAAAGCGGCCAATGTCTCTGGCTGTGAGCAGGAGAGGACATGCAATGGGTAATGGTGCACCCAACCAAGGTGCCCCATACTTGTGCCCAGGCCCTGGCACAGCTCTCCCCACTGACCTGCCCCTCTGCAGTGTCTGCCTCCCTATGCAGCACAGCTCACTCACTCCCTGTGCCCCAGCATATAAGGACCAGCAGGATTTGGACACTGAGACTGATTTGGGGTAGGCTGTTTCAAGCCCTCACAGCACAGTCTCCATCCAACAGATCCCTTGGGTCTTGGTGCAGACAGGCTAGTGCACAGGCACAGGGACCAACCAGTCCACTTCTGTCCTCCTCCCACTGGGACCTGTATAATCCAAATCTACCCACCTACTCAACAGGCAAAAACACGAACTCCTCTATCTCTGAAAATAAAATCACCTACAGCTGAGCTCCCAAAGGCACACTCCCACAGAGAGATTTGGAGCAGATCCTCTGCCTCCCACTGCCTTGTGCCACGTGGTACAATTTGCAGCTTATACCAAGCACATGATATTGTTAAACACTGATATGTGCATTATACAAATATTTCTGTGATGATGTGACTATTCTGCAAGGCCATGGAGGCAAAAGGGAATGTGAAGGGGGCTGTGATATGTTTGGTACTCACTGCACAGCTCCGCTTTCCTACCAGCAGCCCAGTGAGTGAAGCCAACCACAAAGGGAGAAAACACCCCTGTGAAATCCTTGGGAGAAGGGACATAGACACATACTGCAGCACAGTAGCATGGTGGCTGTCACAGAATACTGCTTCTTGGACAGGCAGCGTGTTCCATCTGACTCCCTAAAACTTTTGTCAGGAATTGTACAGCTTAGTATAGAGGTTTGGATACTGCTATACTTACCCTACACACCACTGCTGGGTCCCAACTAAGGCAGCCAGCTGCAGGGCTGAAATCAGATCCAGAACCCAAAAGGGTGTTGGCAGTGCTGCTGGCAGTGCAGCTGTAACACCAGGGCTGTGTCCTGCAGAGAACAACCACACTGCCCAGTGGGCTGGGCTTTTAGGAAGACAGTGAATCAAATTCCAGTGCTGGCCATAGACAGATGCTTGCACCTTTCTGCTCTGTGTGCTGAAACTTCCATAGGGAATCAGCTGCAGTTCCAACCCTTGCCTTTAGCTTAGACATGGTAGTAACATCCCCACAAAGAAAAAGCCAGGTCCACAGATTTCCCCAGGGACCTACTGTGAACTACAGACCATAACCTGGAGCATGTCTGTTGCAAGCATATGCCTGCCTGCCCTGCCAGCTATTACAAAACATCTCATCTGAAACCTTGGATAAGCATATAACATAGTTTGTTTAGTATTTTTAAAAAGACACAGACAATGCAGGAATGATTGAATAAATAAATGACCTGTTACTGTCTAAAGATTTAAACACAGATAAGTGAAACAGGCTTTCCAGTAAGAAGGACAATAGAAGTCTACAAATTATGACCTAGTTGAAGGGTACTGAGGTATTGTAAATGCATTTCTTCCACTGGGAAGAAATTATGATGTCTGACTCCAGTTCAGAAGGCTGAATAATTTATTTATTATAACTATACTATAATACATTAATATACTATTTAAAGGAGGTACTAAACTACATACTGACTTTTTCTAACTACCATATCTAACTAACTCACAACTCGTGACCCTCTCGCCAGAGTCCAGACACAGGCGGATTGGATTGGCCATCAGGCTCCAACAATCCTCACCAGAATCCAATCAAGCAATCACCCCAGATAAACAATTCTCCAAACACATTCCGCATGGAAAAAACAAGGAGCAGAAATAGAAACTGTTTTCTCTTTCTTCTCTCTGTGCTCCTCTATGAAAAAATCCTGAGAGAGAGAAGAATGTGCCTGCCACACTGAGGATTATGAATAAAACTTATTTCGGAGATTCTGTCTAGGACTAGAATATAAAAATTTATCTTTAAGTAACTTCTTGTAGTTACCTTTGAGGAATATTTAATTCCTGACCTTAATTTAGCTAATTAACCTTTTTTGTTATATTTCTTTTCAGATCTGAAGGAAATTTACTATTTCTGCCCTTTAAAAAGGGAGAAAGAATCATGACAGTATTTGTCATTATTTTTGATAGTGTATGATATATTCAGCACTCCAATCGTTCTGCTCAGTACTATCATATTGATTGGTAAATGAATAGTTCAGTGAATATGTGGTTGGAAAATCTAATTTCTGAATTTGGTTTCTAAGCAATCATCTCTTTCTGTTGTTTTGGCATGTCCCTCTGCAGTGGCCCAGGCACTGGACATATTCCAGTTGCAAACTGCTTTTCACTGACAGCTGTGCTGCTTTTTAGACAGCATTTTGTGGTTACAGAATTTAATGTTCCCAACTGTGGCAGCTATACAAAAGATGCTTCAGAGAACTGCAAACTCATTCCAAGCTGGGCTGGACCTAACTGCAAAAGATGACATCTCCAAAAAGTTTTAGCTGGCTTAAAAAGAAGCCTCAGTCCTGTGCTCCTCTATCCTTGTGATTTTGGTGCAGATTCACTTACCTTTTCCCTTCCCAGCAGCTCTCATGCAGGCTACAGCTGCCCTGTAATGAGGACACAAGCAAAGGAGGCATGTGGGTAAGTCCTGAGTACACGATGGGCAGCGTTGAAGCTAGGAAAACTGCAGAAGACAGAAAGCAGTGAGGGCACATGCAAAGAAAAGGGAATAATCTACATAGTGGGTTCAGTAGGCTGCAGAAGGAAAAAAATAAAAGCAAATTGGTAATATGAACTCTGCTTAAAGCTTTTAATATAGCCAAATGCTTTCCCACTAAGAATTCTTGAAGTACACCTGGAGCTCACATGACAGGATGGTTTCACCAGAGATTTCCTGCAACACCAGAAAATGAGAAGCAAGCTCAGGAGTCAGTGTGGGAACATGTTCATCCCATGTGCACCTGAGCATGAGCTGCCTCTCAGACAGGCTCTGATTGCACACTCCTTTCTCAGAAGAGCATAAGTGCTGAAAATAAAACTGTTTCTGAGGCAGTAGAGGGGAAATGTCCATGTCTTGGCACTGCACATCTGCAAGAGTAAGCAAAACACTGTGAGAAGCACTGGAGCGGGGCCATATTACTTCTGTATTGGCCCTCAGTCCCTGCTCGAGGAGACAGATCTGGGTATTTTTCTGTTAACAGACACTCACAAAGATCAATTTATCAATTTGACCCATAATGGAAGAGGCATCTAAGACAAAGTTAACATCAGTTTATAGACATGAACCATCCATCTTCTTTATCTCTGGAGAAAAAACCCAAGCAGCTTGCTTAGAGTTTGCACCAGGTGTGCACAAAGCAGAGGTGCTCCCAAACACTCTGCAGTTTTAGAAGATGTGTAGAAGATGTGTGGCACTTAAAGTTAGTCTAGTGCTGGACTTGAACTTGCTGTGTAATCAGTTGGATTCAATGATCTTAAGGTCTTTTGCAACCTAAACTCTTCTATGATTCTATGATGTTGGTGATAAACATCCTGGAAATGCCCATGCCATAAGCCAGTTGCTTCCTAAGACATAGTCTTGCTTATGTAAGCCAAGGAAAGTTTTTCAATTCATGTTAGAGAGGTTATTTGACACTGGGACCTTGTTCAGATAATGTCCTGTACTGAGGAAACACTTCAGTAATTACTGATGAAACTATTAAATTTGTGTATGTGTTCTTCTCTGAGCACAGTTCTCATGCTCTTAAGGTCTCTAGTTGCTCTGTTACTCAGAAATTTAAAGCATAGTTCTCAAAGTTTAAGTAGAGGTTATAAACAGCAGTAACTAAATAAATTTTGTTGCTATAATGTCCAAACAAAACTAAGAGGAGTTTCAGAAATGTAAGAGTTACAGTCAATGTTATAACACTGACATAGGGAAAGGTGTGTATTTTTATTTCTATGTGGCCACAGCTTCACATGGCAGATTTCATAAGAATTTAAGAAAAGCATGTTGTTCAGTGCTCCCTCTACTCCCTCTTTCCAGTGTTCCAGCTCAGAAAAAAACTTATTTTTACACTAGAAAAATGAAAAAAATGCATCTAAACAATGGCATCATCTGAAGACAATCAGACTGCCAAACTTCATTGTACCAAAAATATTCAAAGGCATGAAGAAAATAAGATTTTTCTAAAGCCTTGCTGCTGCATTTAGTCACAAGCAAGGAAATCCCTGTCAGGAACTGAAAATCCTTACTATATTTAGCATCATCTTAATAGGATAATGTGGCTACAGTTTAGTATTCTTCAGATTGATGGAGTTTTGCATTGTTTCACTGAAAAGGCCAGGCTTCTTCAAGAAGTCTGATCTTGCTACTTTGGGAAATAAGCTGCCTTAAGATCAAGGAGAGCAACTTCCACTTTCCTCTTTTGATAGTTCATTGTCTTATGCAAGTCTAATACTGTTCTTAGGAGGCCAACACAAAATTGTCTGCTTTTCGTGTTTTAAAAAAGGTGTCCATACCATTCTGCAAAACAAAGAGTTGTTAAGCTACAGTCATCTTTTATAGCTTCAGTATTTCCCAGGGACTATCTTTTTCTTTCATGTTTGCAATCCTATAAGAATCATAGAATTACTATGTTTGAAAAAGACCTCTAAGATTATCAAGTCCAACCATTAACCCAGCACTGCCAGTGCCACATCTACATGTTTTTTAAATACCTCCAGGGATGGTGATCCCACCCCTTCCCTGGGAAGCCAGTTCCAATTCCAATTTAAAATAGTGTTCTCTTACTTGCTCTAGTATCTTATCACAAAATCCCATTTGAGGAGAAAACAGAGAGCTTCATGTGATAAGAAAATCAGCAATGCTCTAACCAGATGCAGAACATAAAAGGAAAACATCCTAAAAGTTTCAGAATTGCCTAGCTGTGCCCTGGGTTTAAATTGATCTCCAGTCTTCCACCTGCAAATAATACAAGAGATGTTAAATGAAATTCATAACATTTTTGTGCCAAATTTTCAAAAAATGTCCACCTCCTACTTCATTTTTTAAAAATATACTAGAATATTGCCATCTGTGAATGTGAAGCTGTGAAAGCATGAATCTGAAATCTGTCAGCTGTTCATCAACAAGCTGGTAATAAAAAAAATGCAAGTGACAGAAGGTTGAGTTTTGGGAAGGAGGTTGTGAAGGGTGAGAGAATCGTGCCTATTTTGCCAGAAGGCAATGAGAAGCCACACCTAGACCCAACTCAGAATGCTTCTGCAGAGCCAGGAGCTCTGCACCACTCACGCCTGGCTGAAAATCATCCCAGCCTCCCCATGGAGACAGCATGTGACAGATCCCTGTCTCTGGGGCTAGAAATCAGACACCTCTGCAATTTCAACATGTCCCAGGGATATGCACTGAAGTAGGAGAGAAATGCTCATAATGGCACACCAGCTAGGTACCCAACACCCAGCACTAACAGCTCAGTATTTGCTCTCAAACCAACTCTTGACTTTTAAAACCCACCATTGTTAAAATAACTTTTCTCTTGGGAAATTAAATAAATAAAGTTTCTTTCCAAGAGGAAGATAATGTATTATAAAAATATTAATAATTCTGATAAGTTTGACCTGGTAGAAACCTTTCTGCTTTTTTTGTCATTTCTTCTCATGCAGTTGGTGTTCAAAGGCTTTATTATGGAATTGTTCATGCCATTGCTTGTAATACAGAATATTAATGAATTAATTTTCTCTTTCTAATAGTAGTTTTCTATTCCAATTTCCTTTATCTGACTTCTGCATGTTTTTTTTCAGATGATAAAATGCTCTCTTTCATATAGTTAATTTGTTCATGACTTTTAAAATTCATATTTCACATAACTAAGCTGGTGAGTTTGCTCATGTTAGATTGATCCCTCTCCCCTATAGTTTTCAGTTACCCATCTGAAGAGAGTCCTTAAACTTCTCTCTCTTTTAGAAGCTTTAATTTAATTCAGGCCTTTTGTAAGAGAAGTTTTATGAATAGTAATTTTTTCACACATGAGAAAGCCCCCTTATCATTAGCTGCATGCTTCTTAGCAATTCTGGCACCAGTTTGCAGTACACACCTATAAAACGTCATAATGCAATGTCTCAAAATCTGCTGGAATAACATTTTCTCAGTGCTGAATGAGGCCTCATAAGAACAACTGCCTTCAAAGTCCAAACGTCCCATAATCTGCTCCTCTCCAAATGCATTGCAGCTTTTGATCTCTTCACAAACCTTGCTATTGTATTAGCTCATCTTTCAAAAGGATGCTCACTTTTGACATCTTGACTTCACAAACTTAAAAGGTGAATGAGTAACAGCGTCTCCTAAATTGTCTTAGCAGATACATTGTTTGTGAATTCACAGCTTCTTTTCTAGTTTTGACTTCTAATCCTTACGTAATACTTAAACAAGGATTAAATAAGTTATTAGACTCCTAAGTCAAGTCCAGAGATGGCCACAAGCACCCTTTGGTGGGTATTTGATCCCCAGAATACCCACACAGCACCTTCCTGCTTCCACCAAAACTCCTCTCTCCTGGTGCAATTTTGCTTCTCATCATTCATCTATTTTCCTTTAAAACATGGCTAAAATAGAAGTGAATGAGAATGTGCAGCCCAGTCTTTACATTGTATCTGAGACGCTGCAGTACCCTGAAGAGTGAGGTTTACGTTCAAAGCCTTCCTCAG